AAAACACAATGGAATGTAAAAATCTTCAAATATCAAATGACCTGGTCAAAACAGTACAGCTCATTTACTAGGATATGTATTTTCAAGAGGCTGGGGATGTATATGTTCAGAACCAATGTACTTCTTAAAATGATAGGATAATTTCATGCTGGCTTCAAAACAAATGAACGCTTCATTATGTACTGTTGCAGTGGAGCTTTAAAAGTTAAATCTGGTATTTCCTTTTGTTACTTGTATTATTTACTGTGTGATATTCTTTTCCTTAAACATTGCTTGCACTGGAAGATGGAATGTAAGATTTAGTGATCTTAGTTTAAGTAGTTGCCATGGTTTGCTGCTTTTCATACATGGAAATTATCAGGTTCTATTAGAGATTGTGCTCTTCTCTTTCATTTTTATGCCATATATTCCTTATGATCATTTAATGAATGCACTTAACTGTACTACATATGAATCTGATAGTCATGCATCTTTCATGATTTTTTTCCTTTAACTTTTACTCTCCGTTTCATGCCCCAGGCACGGCTTGAACCTTTTTCCTTTCTATTGTCACAATAACTTTCATTGTCTCAACTTTCACTTTGTTGTCTTGATGACAACTGAAGGATTCAGTCCAGACTAGAAGACTTGCTACTTTTAGCTATTAGTATTTACTAATATGTGGACTATGGACTACTGCACCCTTTATTTTAATTAAAATTGAGTGGAAAAGGCCATCTTTAAAACAAGATATTGCTTCAATTTTCTGCATTCTCTTCCTTTCCTTCTATTATTTTTATTATTTTTTTATGAAAAAAATAGTACTGTTAGAAGTGACCATCCTGCCTGGAAGTTATCCCTATGTTATTAAGAGAGCTGTTCTCTCAGTGAGACAAAGTACTGCATTAAGGAAGGAGCTTCCTCCTAGCTCTCATGTGGCAATATCCTTTCAAATTTTTCTCTGCTATTCCACTGAGATCCACTATCAGACAGGGGCACAGGGCTTCTAGGCATCCCCCTTTGTGGACTGGCCAAGCCTCAACTATTTTTTTTTTTTTTTTCTTTAAAAGGGAACATCCTTGCTGACGATGAGCCTGCTGATTTGTTCTAGGAGATGCCATTCTTGAAGATACATTTTAACTGCCACATAACAGCAGTTTGTTAGAATGTGCTGAAACGCACATATATATATTCCTCAAATGCTGTAAAGAGAGCTTATATCCTAATGACATCCACAGCCAGAGTACATTGGCCTAAAATGTGTTTGTTTTGGCAGAATATTTAATTCAGTGCTGGGTTTCTAAGAAAATATTTCCAGGTTTTCAAAGGTTCAAAATAGGGTTCAAAATATTTCAATATATTGCAAGTCTTCACTTACGATAAAGCAATTCTCCCTTAATTCTTCCCTTTTGACTATTACTGCATACATAATTATTTTTCATAAACATACCTTTAAAATTAGGGGGTTGAATCTGTTTTGAAAAATAATCAAATGGCTGAATCTGAGGCTCAGTGTCTAGAATAATCTTGTTGCATCTGATCTTGGTTGCTTGTACCCGAGTAAAGCTTTGAGGTAGGTTCTGGTGCAGTGGATCTCAACATCGTCTTGTACCAATGTGGCTTTGCTAACTCCACAGCATTTTGAAGATGTGGCTAAAGTGGCGTAACATGAGATAGACTGAAAAATTGACTGTTAGGTGTGAATACTGCTAACCAGGCTAAACTACTTTAGCTCTGCTTTAATCAATGGCATTATCAAAAGTATTGTCAAACATACGCTAATATCAGGATAAAATATTACAATTATGAGTGGGATAAATACAAATATATATGTATACATGTGTATATATATATATAAACATTAGAACTGGGAATGGTACAATGGTTAAGATAATTCTTTTCTGCCCTTAATGGAAAACACATTTTCTTGACTCTATTTTGTGTATTATAATCAACAGATGTAAAGAGACTGATGGGTAGCGAGCATGATCCTCTCTAGCTGATTTTTAGCACTGTATAGCAATGACAGTAGGATTTCCATTATTTTTCAGTGACTGATTATTCCTTGTTGGCTAGAGTTCAAGAAGTTTTTGAGCATATGCTTGCCTTTTTCCACTTGAGATAATTCAACCACAGCAAGAAAGCATTTAAGGACACAGTCATGTAGTTCTTCAGATCTCACCAGACACTCTTGAGAGTCATAGTTATTCTTCTTAACCTGTACAGAAATTCTGAATTGTATTTGGCTTTACATTGAGTACCAGCTTCAGTATGAAGCTCATACGTCAGAACAATGAGCATGTGTTTAGAGGGAGAATATGAACAAACATATTTCTAGACTCCTAATTTTAATTATTTTTATTATTTTAGATTATGCATTTAACAAATAAGCCAGTTATTAAAATGAGACTGCCACTTTCCTGGCTGACACATGAGGGCACTTTAAAGTAAAGGAGTTGTTTATTGATTCCTATAGTCCCTACAGCATGATAAAGATTGGGATTTTTAAAATGTAGACAATGTTTATTAACAATCTAAACCAAGAAGAAGGAAAAAAAAAAAAGAACACACTACAAAATAAAAACAATGTGGATGTACATCAGGGTTAGTACATGGTGTTGAAACCTTACTTGTGTTATGAGATGGACCTGGGGTTTTGGGAAGGGAAAGAACACGCACCACATGACATTCATTAATGTCCACTCAGATAATAGCAGTACCACTCACTGGCAGTAGATCACAAGACATAAAGTAATAAATCCTCTTTGTTACAGTGTAATTAACAGTTAAAATTTCAAGTGAGATCTCATTTGATATCTTAGATGAGATTTAGAATACGGGTTAAAGAGTTTCTGTGATTCCTATTAGTTACTGCATGAAATCTTGATTGGGGGATCACTACACAACCAGCTGCAGTGAAGGGAAGCTTTGCAGCACCTTACACAGGGTGTTGTAGGGAATGTAAATAAAGATAATTACCCTCCACTGTGCTATTAGTGGTTTGGGATCCTTTTCTACATTGTAAGGAGGCTGTAGTTGTGAAGCCCTTAATCCCACTCCTAAGAAAATCTATCAGCAAGAGCTTCGGTAGCACAATTTCCTTTCTGTATCAGTGCAAGGTTTAATATCTAATTTTTCCAATAATAGGTCATTTTGTTCCCACACATGTTAACCACAAAGTTCATTTTTCTCTCTTTTGATTGTGTTAGAGACACAAGGCAAACTTCCCAACAAATGTAACTGACTAATGTTTAAAATCTGGTGTGAGGGAGTTGAATTTTCATAGCTTAATTAGTGTCAGCAGGTTGCCAATTAATTAATAAAATTCTTTTGTGCTAGCTCCAGCTGTATTTAATTAGACTGTTTTTAGAGGAGAGAAGGCTACTATCTAAATGTAGCTAGGTGATGAAATATTTTTCAGAAATTGTGCTTTACACCTTGTTAAAGATCTTTTTTTCTTTCAAATTCTGAATTCTTCACATTCTGCAAATGAGTACAGTTTGTTCTGTCAGCAAATAAGTAGTTAGCAAGGTTATTAACTTTATGATATGACATGGAAGCCTTTGGATTAGTGTTTTAGATAAACCGTTGAAGTTCATTGGGGAAAAAAACAAGTGTGATTAATTAAAAATGCATTCATTAAGATCCAAGTTAAATACTGATATAATCCAACCTAATAATATGATATTTTAGAAGAGGGCTAAATTCAGATCTTTAAAGTATTTTAAATTAAAAAAAATAAATAAATACATTAAAAATAAAATGTATAATCTAAAAGTAATAAGCTATTTTGCACAAGCTGATACTTGTGAGAAACATCAGAATACTGCTGAAGTTTTAGTAACAGAACTTCTATCTTGTGATAAAGTGAAATTTTAGTATCTCTGCATCATTCATACTTGGATTTCCAGTTATTCCCAGCACACTAGTATTAAAAATAGTGGGGTTTTTGTGTTTTTTTTTTTTTTTTAACTTTATTTTTATTTTATTTATTTATTTTTAATAAAATGAAGAAACTTCTTAATCTTATTAATAAAAGTAACAGATTATGATCAGGAAGGCTGTTTTTCTAACTTTCTAACTCATTTATAAATGGAAGAACCAATTATCTGAATTTTACTATTTCCTTCATACTTAAGAATTCTGTATGGCTATTGCAAATTCCCACAGCTGGAAGGGCCTATCCTAGACACTGATAAGAAATATGAACTATTTCAGCATGTCAGTGGAGCAAAGATCTCAAATATTCTGAAAATTAATGAAAATCAATGCATCGTTGTATCAGAGTTTAGTACCTTAGAGACATTCTTAAGTGCAAGTGTATCTGACTCATTTTTTATTGAAAATTGATAAATACCTGAGTAAAAATACAACTGTGTATTTACAGGAAATTAAGTTTAAGGTGTAGCTTTAAATATTTCTTTTCCCATATCTAACTGTACATTGCCACCCACTAGACTCAGAACTCACAACTGAGTTATTGGTCTAGCTGACTGATCCCAGAAGCCAAACTGAGCTTTTAATATTACAGTCACCAGGATTCAGAAATGACATATAGTTTGGACACAAGTTTGTCTGTGCTTAGTTATATGTGCATAAAAGGATAACAAAATTATGTTTTCATGAAAACAGAGTGGCTCTAAATGGTTTTGCTAAATTGTTTAATTTGTACATAGGAGAAATAGTATTCTATTGCAGAATGTGGCTTTACTCAGTTCTGTATTGGTGTTAACCTGTTCAGGATTACGCCAAAACATTATTGTTTGAAAAGTACATGCACAAGTGGAAGCAACTATTTCCTTTCTATACATTTTGTGATAATCTTGTCAGAGTTGGCATCTCCATCCTGGTGCACTCAAATTGCAGCCATTGCATATTATACACCTACCTTGGCAAAACATCCTTCCCTCAATACCACCATAATAGTTCCAGCTAACCAGAAAATTCACTCCACTAATTTTTATTTTTTACTTTTCAAATAAACAATACAAGCATTTAAGATACTATTTATATCTCTTAGCAGGAAGACTACTGGAAGGAACACCCTGCATGACTGACTCCAGTTTCCTGCTAGCGCAGCCAGACATGGGTAAGGGATTGTAAAATAAATTGATCAAGCAACATCTCAAAAGCAGATAGGATCTCTATATTGACTCTGTTTGTTAAAAATGCTGGAATTCTGCTCCAGAACACCATGGCCCTAGAAACTTTAATTTAATTTATGTTTGTTCATACACCCTCATACACCTTCTATGAAGGTGTTCATACACCTTCATTTCTCTTACTGCATTCATATTGGATCATTCCAGTTCTTACACTATGATATTCCACATACCTGCTTCACTTTTATAAACTTCATTCTTAAGCCTCTTCAATATCTTTGTCAAATTATTTCCTTTGGTGATGAAGCTGTGATGAAGCAATATATGTAATGACTGGAAATGAAGGGCATGTTTTAATTTCTCCTATTGTAACCTAATACAATCACTGTCAGAATTACCTCTCAAAGACATTAGAATATGTACCTCCTAAAAGTCATTGTTTTCAATTAGGTAATAAAATAATTTATTCCTTTAAATTTTTATTTTGGAGTTTATGCAAGAGTAATGTGCATGTAAAAGAAAAATAAAAATTCAAGTAATATTCATCACTATTTAAGCAACATTACCAGCTCTTCAATTGCAAATTCTTTTGCGATCACAGGTAGGCTGATGCATCTCTGCTGACTACAACTGAATTGATCTTGCTTAGTCCAGCATTTAATTTGGCTTGCTACTGCAAAGGTATGTTAAAAGAGTAGTGTGCTATAATGTATCCACTAAATCTATTCTTTATCATTCAGTGGGGATGTAGCTGACTATTTTACTGTGGGAAAGACTTACATGTAAATGTTAAAGGGGCAGTGATAGCTTTTAGGCCTAATATTTAGTTGACTTAGTAAAATCCACCTATGTACTCGTTTCACATTTCTTTATATGAATTACAAATAAAGACTTTTAATATACATTGAAAGAGAGAATGGTGATTAATGTAGGCATACATTTTGTTTTTAAGAGAGTCAAATCTGAAAAGCTCTTTATTTTTTTTAGAAGCCTTGTTTTTTGTTTGTTTGTTTTTCAATAAATAAAATCATATGTATTCCTTTTTCTCTTTAAGGTTTTCAGAAAGTTTTAGAGCTGAATTGATGAGTGTTGCCTGTGCCTGACTCTGTCTGCTATTCTCTTTATTATAGCAACACAGAGGGTTTTTTTTTTTAGATCTCAGTAAGGCTTTGTGTGCTTATTTTATCTTTATTACTATGTCATGGAATGTGATTTTGGTTCCCGTGTCTAGAATCATGTGAAAACAAAGCTTTTCCAAAATGAGGGAAGAGCAAAAATCTGTAAAGGTAAACATCTGTTCAGGCTACTATTGTGAAGGGCTGCTTGGATTTACAAGCAGATTGAACATCTTTCCAGATGGTCAGTGCTTCCTCAGCTATTTGCATGTCTTACTTTAGTTGTTCTAGCAGTGAAATAGCTGAAATAACAATCCAAGACCGAATATTTATTTCTAATAAGCGACTAGATGCAGTAATACAGTTCACAAAAGTTAAATAAGAGGGATTCACAAAAAGAGTTATGTATGGAAAAAAAAAAGTCCAGATCTTTGTTTATAAATGTGATATGTATACCACAGATGATTTCTTTTTTCCTTTGCAATTCTGTCTGCTGGTTTAGGCAGTGTACATAATATATGCTTGTAAATTAAGAGTCTAGTTACTCTCCCAGTCACCACACTTAGAATATTATGGCATATGGTTTATGTTAACTATCTAAGCCATAATTCTGTAATAAAAATCTTCAATTGCTGTAAGAAAATTCTCAAAAGTTAGATTAAACTGACATTATATCTACAAGGTCTTTTATGTGTTAAAACTATACCACTGGGGGTGGAGTTTCAAACTGGAAAGGGAAGCAAATTGTCCCTCCCTCAAGAGTCTTCACAGGTATCGGTGTCAGTCATGTGATAAATGGGATTTTTTTTGTATTAAACTGTTCATCATTTCATCTGCATCGTCCATATACTTTCTGTGCAAAACTACCAATATACAAAATTCCTATGTGATACCAAATCTCTTTTTTTTTTGTTTTGTTTTGTTTTGTTTTGTTTGCGTGTTTGTATTTTGCTTGATTATGAGGTGGTTGTTTTTTTTCCCCACCAAAATAAAAAAATCCGCTTCCCAAAGTCACACAACCCAGCATGTTCTGTGTCTCAGGCCCAGGCCTATCACCTTTCTTCTTCCCTGTTGCTCATGAGATTCATCCTATTACAGATTGCACAAATACTTTCCTAAATGAAAAAGATTGTCTACAGAGGAAAGCAGATCATGACAATCACTCCTTTAATATTCTGATTTAATAGCCCCACATGAGGCATATTATTTTAGTATTAAAGAACTGAATTATTTAAAATTGTAGAAGATTGCAGTTGTATCATCTGCACTGAAATAATGGGGGGGGAGAAGGGGGCTGCTAGAGGAAGGGGGAACACAGTAGCAGTCCTTTTCTAAAATGCTGCTTAGCAAACAATGCAATCCTAGCCAGTAGGAGTAAAACTGATGAGATACACTACTTCCCTCATTTTCTTAGCCCAACAGATTCACCAATATTCCATCTCCTGCTCTCAGTGGAGGAGAAATGGGGGGTGACATTCACGTGTTTCCAAGCTGTCAGGAAGAACAAGAACACTGCCTTTGTCTGCACCTCCAGGCTTGTTTCTGGCCAGGATGTTGCCTCACATCTACCAGTTTGTCATGGTTTCCTTGCTTCTCCGTGCATTTCAGCATTTTGTAGATTTCATCTCAAAGGTTTTCAGACTCTTGATATATCCTCACATCTACCTCCACTGCTTCAGTACTTTGTATTAGATCAACCTCTCAGCATTAACATGGTTCCTGTGGCATGTGAGGATTTTTAATGACATGTTTTCATGAGCATGTGCTTAAGGTGGTAATTCTGTTCTTTTGGTGGCTTTTGAATGAAGATACATAAATTGACGGTGGCTTTAGCAAGCTTTGACTGGTAATGTTATAAGATGGAAAAATTGGTTCTGAGCTTTGGTAAACAGGTACCTTTTATCTTTTTGGCATATGGTTCTCCAGCTTAATGCCAAAGTGCTGCAAACCCGTCTGTCCAGAAAAACAGAATATGCGATGATATTATGAATGGGTTTGTGATCAATCTAACCATGAGTTTTATGATTTTTATGCACATGAGTGCTAACCTGTGTTTCATGAGTCACTGATATCTCAGTTCTGAAGACCTGCTCATGTGAATTAATTATATATATGTCCCCTGCACTTTGTTAAGAACAAAAAGAAAAGCTTCATATGAAGAACAAAATTTGGGGTCATCTGAGGTGACAGATGCTTGCTTGTTCAAAGACTCCATTGCTCAATGCTGGAGCGGAAGGGAGAAAAAATCAGAGGCTACTCCTTCATAAGCATTTCCTTTTGCATTATTTAATAAGCCTTTTTAACTTAGAAGACAAGTTGCAAAGGTTATTGAAAGAAAATGGTGGTCCTTATTTGTGCTTGCTGACTAAGTAGATTTCTGTCTGTGTATTGAAGTTTCCATTAGTGTGAGATTTTTAAATTTAAATTTCATTGCAAGCATATTTCCTCCTGGGAATTGAAGTCAGTTCATTGTAACAAATAAAATCACGGTAAAATAACTTTGCTTTTTCACAGATCGCAGATTATTGAATTGATGCTTTAACATGGAAATTTAGCATATAAGAGATATGTTATTACTGTCATTTGCACTCTAAAGAAGCTCTTCTCAAAAAGTACTTTTACTCTAAAACTGCCTAAGTGCTTTACACCACACAGAATAAGGCAAATCTAACTTTGTGCTATTGAACAGTAGGACAAAAGCTGTCTGTTAACAGACCAAGGAAATGATTGGGAGAAAAATGGAGTAGCTGAGTTTCTTTAAACCTATATATTATTTTTTTTTTCTTAATGAGCAGTTTAACTGGCAATTGATCAGTCATTCAGCATTACAGTAAATGGCCAATCAAATATATAATCATTTGAGACTGCACTTTAGACCTAATCTGGCAGCAATCAGGAATGCTTAAGAATAAATACAGAGCAAATTTCTCCCTGTAGGTACTTTAAAAGATAAAAACAACAAAATGTATCCAAAACCAAAACAGCAATAACAAACTACGAGGCAGTTAATCAGTTGTATTCTTTATTGTGCATGGCAACATACTTGCTCATGAATTTCCATTTTATATAAATAGACAAAAGCTTTTTTTTGCAGGATTTTTTTTTTTTCTGTTAGATTTCAAATATGACTCCTGTGGAATGGTTGCATTAATAAGGTCTTGAGATCACAAATCTTTATAGACTTGTTTAATTTTATGCATGTGAGCTCAAGGCAACTATCCAAACAGATGACATTCAGAATATTGATATGTGTTGCAGTATTAATTCCTACATTAACACTCCAGGTAGGCTCATTACAGTGGAGAATTTCTGTTTTTATCATTTTAAAATTGTAATGCTTTTCGTTTTCAGAAGCAAATCTTTGGTTCTAATCACGTAAAATTCAAGACCTCATCACTGTCTTGCTTCTTGCGAAAAATATAGTATGAAACAGTCCTTTGACCACTGGCATTTGCTAGTGTGAATGAGAAATACCGTCTAAAAATAGAAATCTTCTTTTATTTACGTGAGGTGTGAAATATACCGTTATAGGCAGCTGTCAGTGTGAATGGGTTAACATTTACCTAATTTATAATGTGTGAAAATAGACACCTAGTAGCAGAACTAGAATGGAAAGAGAGCAGTCTCAAAAGAGCACAGTTCACATAACGTTTACCCCTTTTCCCTGACTCAGGTCTTTTGGCACTGAATACATTGTTTGAAGGGTTGTTAAATATTTGACTTTTACTCTGTGACCTCCTCTTTCAAGTGTAGAAGGAAATAGAAAAGCTCAGTTTGACATCTCTCAAGAGATCAGGTGGAGTAATGGGTAGCACTTACCTTTTTTGATCCCCAAGTTAAAGAAGAAACTTTTATTTTCCTAATAACTTGCAGTAAATGAAATTGGTATTCTCTGCAATGTGACCTAATGATCCTGGGAGGCTAAGGGAAAGTCAGCATACATATAAAACTAGCTTTTGACAGGACACAGGTGAGTGACTCTGGTGCATCTTCCATTGACAGTTTTCATCTTCAGAACTGTTCAGATATCTGGGTAATATCTATCTATTTCTGGGCAAAATTTTTCAGTAGGCTTGGAATGATAAGAGTATCCCCACATCTCTACAGTTTCTTGTATGTGTACTGTACATGATTAGCCGAACTTTTTCTTGCAGCAGGTGCAAATAATGAATGTAATAATCAACGAATGTGATAATCGGGTAGTCTGCAAAAGGTACAGGGGCATTTGGCAATTGTAGTATTAAAACAAACTAATTATGGTATCATTAACAACTCTTTTCTGCACACACAGCTTTATTTAAATTTGATTTTAACTTAACAGAACTGGGTTTTGAAAAGTTCTGTAGTTCTGTTATTGATTAAGACTGAACATGATTAACATTAATTATTGATCGAGCTTCTCCACATCTTCAGATAGCATCAAAGAGAGATTTATTGATGAAGTCTGAAAGGTCTTAAAACTGTAGTAATTATGCTGTAATTCCTTTTGACTACAGATTAAGTGGACTATTCACAAGATATCTTGATGCATGTGGAAACTAAGTGTAAAGTCCATCTCCTAAACAT